ACAAGATTATGCTTTTAAGATTTATTATTTAATCTTGTATTAAATTCTAATTTAAGGTTAGGCTAAGGTGATAACGGTTGAAAATTTTTATACTCAATAGGTATTTGTGTGTTCACTATATTATATATATACATACTTTCATGCATATGAAAGGTATAAATCGAAATTTGATTGGTTAACTATGTCTACTTAAGAATCTTCTTATTTTAAGAAATATTATTTAAGCTTTTGTATCTTCAAATATAAATTTTTCGATGTTAATTAAAATTAATAATAGTTTTCCTATATATGTGAATTATATATTTTTATATATAAAATTAAATATTTATGAAAATATAATTACAGTACACGTGATATTATAATTAATCCTCCTATTCTTAAACAATCATAATTTCCCTTCAATATTTTTGCAATATGCTATTAAATAATATGTAAAATAAATATTAAGTTTAACAGAATATCGAAAAATTGTTATTTGCGATTTTAAAACAAAATCGATTAATCGATATAGGATTATCGATAGTTCTTCATAATCTCCAACAACTTCAACATAAGGATCCCGTTAGTCAGTATTGCGTCGATTAGTCAGTATTGCGTCGCTTGCAAGTGTAAATTTCCACGTTTCCTCATTTTAGTGTGATAGGTATTGTTACAGCGTTGATTTATTAAAGTACAGTATTTTTATAATTATATTTGATATTAGTTGGAATATCTTTTTAAGAAAAACAACTATTTTAAAATTAAATATGGTTCTTTTAGTAACACGTGTTAATCTTAGTCATTCGTCCTTTGTGTGATCAATTCGTACAAGTTTGTAGTTTATACATACATATTTTTAATTAATTGATATGAAATGTATAATTATTTTCAACATTTATATTTCCTTAAATATATTTTATGTTAATTGAATTATAGCATTATATCTGTAGGCAGGCATATATATTCATAATTGCTCATAGGTTAATTAATAATAAAGTAGAATTTCATATAAAGTAAATATCTTAGATAGATATTAATTATTTTCTTAAAATATTAAATTATGTTTTTGCAGATACTGTAAACATGCAGTTACACATCAGAGGTGAACATACAACTGTGGTCGAGTCACATGAAAATGAGACTATTGCAGACATAAAGGTATGGTAGAAAAAATAGTTATTGTAATTAATATTAATATTAATATTAATAGTTATTGTAAAAAATATTGTTATTGTAATTAGTTTATTACAGAATTTAATTTGATACAATATGTTTTCTGAAATGTGCTCTTTGAAATAAGAAAAGAGTCTTTTTGTTTCCTACATATTTATATATTATAAGTGAAAGGTCTTTATTTACATTAATTAAAAAATAATTTGAAATATATTATCTTTTATCACAATATTCTATTGACAATATTTTTATTTTTAAAAACATAAATAATTTTCAATAATTAAAATTAATGTATATATAATTAAATTATTTATAGATAGAAACTTTATTTTCCTGTCTTTTGGACTTTAAAAGGGGGTTGGCATGTAATATAAATAATTATTCTATATATAAGTAATTGTTATGTATGTATAAAATCGATAATATTATCTTGATATGTATTTAATCATTTGCGTCGCAATGATAATCTGGAGTCTAAGCTTTATGCCTCTGGAACGAGCAACGACGCAATATCAAATGACAAACTTATGAGCTGGTGGTCAAATAAATCTTTCATTGAACACCATTCGCGAATGTATGTCAACAGTTATACGAATTAAAGAAACTTTGAAATTTTTAAAGGAAATAATATTGATATGTGATAAGGCAATTAAACACTTGTTTATAATATAGTGATAACGATATAATTTTCTTTTATATTCTTTAGTATCTTATCACTGTAGTAAATATTTTAAAAGTGCTGTAGGTAAATAATACTATTTGCCATGAAGTGATGAAAGATTAGATCCTAGAGCCTTTAATAATTAAATATAAGATAATAATAATTAAAATTTATTTTAATTTTTTCCAGAGAAAAATTGTTGAGACAAAGGGTGCTGTAAATACAGAATTTAACTTGTACTGTTCTGGTCTCTTATTAGAAAACGATACTCTAGTTGGAGATCTTACATCAAATGTTCTAGAATTAACAGTTTCTCTTCCTGGTGGTAAGTTTTGACAATTAAGAAAATTTTTATTCTTTTCGAAATTTATATATTATTAGGGATGTGGGAAATATCTGGGATTTTAAGAATTTAGAGAACCTGAACATCATTTTGAGATTAGTTTGCATACGACTATGTTATGGGTTGGGCAGACACTGTATTTGCATTTATTGTAATTCACAGACTTCCCGAACTGTATTATATGCCTAATTTAATCTTTTTATGAGAATCACATACTAAAACTATTGCAAGTATCTATCTAAGTAATTAAAAGTTACTTTTATGTGTTATATTAATAGTTTGAAACTATTGTCAGAAACAATATATTAATATAAGACATGTTGTTAAATATCTATCCTAAGATAGTCTCAAACCTTGATTCTCGAAATTCTTGGAAATCCCTATATTTTCAAAATCTCAAGATGGTTTCAGGAATCAGACTCTACGTTTTCGTACACCTCTAGATATTATTGATCTTTAAGTTTACAAATATAAAATTATTTTAACATAAATAATCAAGTATTACTTTAATTTTTAAGGTAAGGTCCATGGATCTTTAGCGCGTGCTGGAAAAGTAAAAGCTCAAACTCCAAAGGTAATTAAGTCATACAATATTCATACATAGTCATACAAAATTAAGGAAAAATAGATATTGTAGACTAATGTACTAAATTCTAAAATCAGCTTAAATAACATCTTATCATCTATTCAAATATGCATCTATCATATAAAACAACACATTGATTCTACATTGTAAGACAATCCGGTATCAACGTACATAACACACATTTCTTTGTTAATTTTTAAAATGATTAAAACATTCGTAAGAAATATACAGTTTAAAGTCACATTTAGTCAATTCTTAACTCTTTGCTCTTAGAATATTAACTGTACCAATACAATATTTTTGATGTCATATGATAAACATATTCACTTTATATAATTATTGAACTCGAACTTTTTATTGAAAAATATTTTTCTCTCTTTTTTCTTTTTTTTTTCAAAAATACTATCATATGGTGAATTCATGTAGAAAGAAGTAAAACTTCAGATATATCAAGAAAAATTATATATTGACAAGGACTCGGATAATCAGCAACTATCTTGGTTTTATCAATTAGAAAATCATAGAATATTTCATTGTAGAAAGAATTTATCAATTATTTTGATTAGAATCAACAGTATGATTAAAAGAAAAGAATGAATATATCTCTTTCCAACAATACTCTTTGAAATAATCACTAGGACAAGTATTATAGAAAATATCACGCATAGAAAGCAGAAATTATAATGAATGTTTCAATTTTCGTAAATTTGCCTTACTACATTTTTTTTTTAATATTATTTCAAATATTCTTTTCCATTACACAGGTGGAGAAACAAGAAAAGAGTAAAAAGAAAACAGGTCGAGCTAAAAGGCGGATTCAATACAATCGAAGATTCGTTAACGTGGTTCAAACTTACAGTCGTCGACGTGGACCGAACGCTAATTCAAATTCATAATTATATGCATATATATTTATATATATGTATATATACATATATACATCGTGTAATTGTGAAAACGAAATAAAAAATTAAATGTAACCATTTCTTTATTCATTTCTTACTCTTTGTAATTGTATTAGCATTTATAGAATATTTCGATATATTACAGTAACAATTCGATTGAAAGTTTAAAACTTCATTTCAATTGTTTGATATTAAAATTTTTAATATTAAACAGAGTTATTGATCAATGTAATAAAATTTTTATAAAAATACTATGTAATCCTAATTAAAAAGCATTTAGTTTATGTTAACAAATTTCCGAAATATTTTGGTTGAAAATATTTACAAAAGATAGACAAATATTAAGACTACAAAATAAGTTTTAAATTTCTTTGACAAGAACATATTACATAGTTTACAAAAATTACATATACATATGTACAGATTTTTGATAAGATTATTTTAAGTATACATATATCTTAACTTTTGTAGCACTATGTGTACGCTTGTGTAATATTATATGTAGATATACATATATTAGATAAATATACACATATATTTCAGAAATAAACTTTTCTACGAAAGAGATCAATTAAATTTGTGCTTAAAGATTAATATCGTGAAAAGACGTATTAGTTTTTTTTCAATATTAACAAACTACAGTATAATATATTATACGAACTTTACTTATTTAGGCTTAATTCTTAATGATACTGTAATGAATATACCAATTCAACAAATCTTTTTATGTTTATTGTATTAAACATATATATGATTGCAGTTACTTAACTGTTACAAATATTATTTTTTCATCTTAATCTCAATTTTGTGATATAATTAATGAAATGATCATTTATTTCTTACAAAAAGCAAAGATACTAATTTTTTTACAATAAGTATTTACTTGTATGTAAAAAGAACTCCTATATATACATATACACAAGGAAAGAATTCTGTGGAATTCATTCTACTTTATACTAAATTGTATCTCTTTACAAATTCACAATTTAAATTTATTTTCGTAATGCTAAAGTAAATAATATATGACAACAGGAAATAGCTACATTAATACCTTCCCTTTTGAATAATTACAACAATTACTTATAATAATAATTTCATATAAATTTTTTAATTAAGGTCAAGTTATACTCTAAGTAAAACGTACCAATTTGCATATTTACTTAACTATTAAATTTGAATTAATATATTGCTACTTAATGTTCATAAATTTGAAAAAGTTCAATTTAACTTTGATAAATAGATATACCAAAGTTCCATAAATTATTAAAATTAAAATTGTACAAATTTTTTACATAATTTAAAGTTAAAATTGCCTAACTTACACTTAATTTCATATGTATTTTTTATTTTCTATCTTTGCTTTTTAGTATTGAGCAAGAAGATCTTTAATATCCTTGCAAAGAGTTGCAAAATCTGGTCTCTGATGGCTTTGTAAATGCCAGCAAGGATACATGAGTTTTACATAAATTGCTTGTGGACAAGTAGATGGACAAGGAAGACGAGTACCTCTTTCTAATGCAGCCAACAATTCAGTACTTCCTTTTTCTTGTTCATTTTGAAGACGGTCTATACTTGAATCAAGGCCGGGTAAACGTGGTTCTTCTCCAAAGCCAAATGTTTCATACATTGTCACACCAAATGACCATACATCTGATCGAGTAGAAAATTTTCCATCTCTAATACTTTCTGGAGCATACCTTAAAAAGAAAGGCTTTCTAGAATAGAATAGAAACTCAAGAACACATAATTTCGTTATATCTGTAACTTACCATTTAATTGGAAGGCCTCGATCAGTTTGTAAAATGTAGTAATCATTTTTTCCAGTAACTTGAGCTAATCCAAAATCACTGATTTTAACTTTATTTTCATCTGCAACTAAAATGTTTCTTGCAGCAAGATCTCTATGAACAATACTCATACTACCTAAATAATCCATTCCTGTTGCAATATCTAAAGCAAACCCTAATAGTCTTTTATGAGTCAATTCTTGTTTGTGAATTGTTAGATAACTTTGCAATGAACCATGTTTTACATATTCCATTACCAAACAAACTTCAGGTTCTGATATTACACCGAGAATTTCCACTACATTTGGATGTTTCAAGGTCTGCAATTTCATTTGATTAATATCTATTACAGTTTTAATATTGCAATATTAATATTAAATTGCACAAAAAATAAATTAAAAGTTAACTGAATCATTAAATTAACCTTCATTATAGCAATCTCTCTTTCAAAGTCTCTTATATCTGCTTCAAGTGCTCTTGTTTTCAATTTTTTTATAGCAACTTGTTGTGGTTCAATATCTTTCCCATTTTCTCTTTCCAAAGTACCTCTATAAACTTCCCCATAAAAACCTTGACCGATTCTGCCTTGCAGAATTATATTACAATCGATATCTAATTCATAAATGCCTCGCATTTGACCTAAAGAACCATTGCTACTTCTTCCAGATCCACAATCTTCTTCTGTTCCAGGTTCACTTCTTCCCATTACCTATTTTTATATTAATATTATGTGTTAAGTTTATTATAATTAATTAAAACCATTAATTTTTAGAAAACACGATTTGGTTAAATTATTTTTATTCTTTAAACTTATAAGTAGCAACTATTAAATTTAGATGTTGAAATATATTCAATCAATTAATTTATTATTTTATTACCTCGCCTAAATCACCAGGGTGTCCTATTCGTAGAGCTTGAGTGGAGTGTTCAATACAGTTCATGTTAGGAATGTTATTTTGAGAAATTGAACACCCTTCTGAATCTCTTCTTGCATTAGATAACCAACCTAAATATGCAGAGAGGTCTTCTGTACTGCCTATATAATTATCATTGGTGTTAATTAAACTTTGTATGCCTAAAATTTAAATAAAATAAAGTTTTAAATTTTGTTAAAACAATGTTACTATAGCAAAGAAACTCTTACTATCATCAGTGCCATTCCATTGAAGACTTGTATTGTCTGTAGAAAGACTACTACTTCTTGATTCACTATTTATTGACCTATTATCGCTGGAGTCAGAGTTATCTTGCTCAAATTTTTTCAATTCAGGAGTAAGTGTTTTAGGAAAAGCTGTTGCGTACGTATGACTTCTGCGAGAATTGTATACTTGATACAGAATTTGATTAATGTCTCTCATAATTGCTTGAGGTTGTTTTCTAGAACCACTTGAATCTCCCCAACATTCAAGCATCAACCTATATACGTCCATAGGACAACCATTTGGAATAGGTAAACGTTTTCCAGATTCATAATATTTCTTCATAATAGCAGTATTTCGGAATTCTTGTAATGTGGCTCCCCTAGGATTAAATAGCATACACACATATTAAATTTTATTTTTATAAATTTTACTTTTATTTGTTAAATCAATGCTAAATCATAATTGGACTTATAAAATATTTGTGATAAATTACTATATTATTAAACACACGTGTTTTATAATTTATGCTATTAAAACAAGTTTATTTTATTTACTACATAGTTTTATACTATGAAAACAATTCTATGACTAAACTAAATCAAAATTATAATGAAATAACAAACGATTTGTAGATTTTGTTTATTAAAAAGCTTTACCTAGCAAATATTTGCCAAATTGTTGTTCCAACAGCCCAAACATCTGCCTGAAAACTATGTCTAGCCAATTCTGGATCATTATAAGTTTCTGGAGGTAACCAGTGAATATCTGTTTCTTTATATACAAATATCCCCGGATCGGCAAGTTTTACGACAAAACTATTATTAGTATGGGCATGTACTAGCAGTTTATTGCATCTAATGTTACCATGAACTACACCATTCTCTTCAAGATGCCAAAGAGCAGTGGCTAAACAAGCTGTTGCTTCTACCATATCTACAGTTTTGATAGTTTGAGAAGAAGAACTACGTAAATATTCATCAAGAGAGCCATGTCGTACCAATTCCAGAAGCATCCCAATGGATGGTGTTACTGTTAAACCATATAATCTAATACAACATATAAAGTCATTGTAGTATAAATATGATATACATAAATTTAAAAATGTTACTAATATTTGTTATACTATAACTTAAGATATTTTAATTATTACATTATTTCATATAATATTAAAATATAGGAAATTACGATTTATATTTATTTTATGTGCCAATCTATTCAAAATGTTATTCACCTTACAACAGCGTTTGAACGCAATAGGGACCATTTTCCAGCAAGTTCCAAAAATTCTTTTGTAAAATGTATTTCTTCTTCTTGTTTTAAAATTTTCAGAGCAACTTCTAATTTTTTTCCTTTAGTTAATCTCCAAATTGCTCTATAAAGAGCTGTTGGTGAATATTGTTGAATCCTAGTAGTTCTTAAAAAAGGTTTGTAAATTTCTAACTGATTTTGAGGTACACAACGAGGTCCAGTTTCTAAAACTGAAGCAACTATTTGTTCATCAGCTGCAACTTCACTAACTGCACTTTCAGGAGCACAAAGTAATAATGATGATTTATCTAAAAAAGCAAGTTAATTCTTTCTCTTATTAACATTATTACAACAGATCAAAATAAAACTAAAAAAACGTTCTTAATTTACCATATTCTGATGGCGGTAAACATTCTGAAAGATATGGCTGTCCTTCGGAATCTTGGAAAGATGAGACACATTGTGCCAATGTATTGTATCGACTAGAAACACCAGTAATAGTGAAATCATCTGATTCAATCCTTTCTTCTATTCTCTTTGAAAATAATTTTCCTTCCTTATTGCATGCATCTAAATAATATACATTGTACTCTGTTTCACTCTCTCTAAGTATATAAGAACCTGGTTTATTAGCACGCTTTTGTTGGAGTTTCATATATGAAAATTCTTGCCTAAAATAAAATTTTAATGTTATGTTCTTATACTTTTATAAAATTTTATACTGTAACACTATATTAAATTAAGTAAATGAAATCTTACCCAACTGGACCATGACATTTTAATTTATGTAACCTTTCTAAAGAAGGAGTGACAATTTCTCCACATAAATTAAATGTCCATTTAACTGCTAGGCGATAGTAACCATCCAGAGCAGAAACAAAGGACACTAAAATTGCATTGTTCAAAAATATTAAGTATGAAGGTATACCATTCTTTCTTGATATTTCCACTGTGTTATCTTGTCTAGAAAATAATAGAAATATTAAAATTTGAAGTACTGAAATATTACAAACAAAAAGGTGTTAATTATGATATTATATTAAGATGTTCAGTGCTCAAAGGAAAAGAATTTTAGTTAAATTTTATTACGTTAAGTTTCAATATTTAAGAGAAAAATAGTAGTAGTACTAAATTTGATTTTTCTTAAGAAAGAATATTTTTATTACAATACGTAATAGTTTCAAATCAAATTTAATTTCTATAATAATGGTTCGACACAGAAATTGCGACTATGAATAAATGACAATTATAATTTTATATCAACAAGATCTATAAGAACAAGAACTATTTTTACTAAAAAATATTGCCTTTTACTAAGAAAAAAAAGGAAACTATTCCTACAGATAAAGATAATATTTTTAATTTTCTTTAAAAATAAAATATACAAAGTATATATAAACGATAATAATATAATGTATTCAATTGTGATATATTAAATACAATTTACAAACAAGTATTTCTTATGAAACGATAGTATCCTCTATCTTATTCTTTCTGTAGACAATTGAATAGTAAACTACTGAATAACAAAAAAGATTTGAGTATAAAAATATTAAAGATTGATTTCATTATAATGCATAATACTGTTTCTACTACAAAAAGACATTTTTCTGATAAAAAATGTAAAAATTACGTTTAAATCTTGTTTCTAATATTTATCTATTATATTTAACAATAAATTTAAAACCTTATAGAAACAAAACATAAATCTTCGATTGCACATAATGTAATCCATGGATTAGTAATTGTTTCACAATATTTTACTTCATTAAAATTGACCCTTAAAGTAATTTTTGCTGGAGGATCTTGAAGACCTCTATCCATTAAAGCTTCATATTCTTCATATGGGTAATTTGGTGCCATACATTCAAATTGTTTCAAATACTGTTCTTTAACATAATTTGCATCATATCCAGATATTTTACGAAGTGCATTCTGAATTGGTTTTTTAATAAAAAATGCATGACGCTTTATACATTCTTTAGGAATATATTTTCTGTATTCCGCTTGCACTGTTTCTCTTGATATTTTTTTTTCTAACATCACTCTATAAAAAGACAACAAAAATTGAATTAATATTTTACAAAACTCGAACTTTATTTAATTAATAAAACCCATACCAGAATCAAAAAGCAAATTAATTGAAATAATAATTCTTACAAATTCCATATTTATAAAAATATTTCATAAATAACAATATAAAATATTTCTATATTACACTAAAAATGAAAATATAAATAAATAAATCATTAGGTGATTGAATTAAATACATTATACAAACCTATACATATCACTAACACCAAGACCAATTAATTCTTGTTTATGTCTTTCATAAACAATGTCTGGTACGTTACTATCCATAACATCTGAACGTGCCTGTTGAAAATAATAATCGTAGGCTTTTATGTCAACCTGCTTTAGTCTGTGTAAGCTTGAAGGTTTAAATCTTAACCGAAAGTCATATTTGTTTTTATCTTTCATTTCCAGGGGGTATGCTGATGGATACCAAAGTTTCGTATAATGATCTCTAAGAGTAAAAAGATGCCTGGCTACTGGACCTATATCAAGAGATTTACAGGCCTAAAAAATGATTCTTTATGTAAATAAAAATGCAAATTTAAATATTTGCTAAAATAAATAGGATAAATTTAATTTAAAAAGTTGTTATTATATTCTTGTACACATTACATTACATTTTTTATTAAGTCTAAGTTTCATCAAAATTTATATTAGATCTTTAAACAGTTAAAGTGAAAAATGAATTTTAATTCAATTTTAATTTCACTCAACACACACATTCAAGTTTAGTTGATATTTGCAAAATACCAATAAAATTATTCAATATCTTGTAAAATTCTAAATAAAATATTCATTTAACCTCAAAATAATAAGAAATAGAATTATGAGGAAATATAGTTTTTTAAAATTATTTTACCTTAATACAAAGGTCTTCAATTGTTTGTCCATAAGTAATTGTAAGAGATAATTCCTTGTCTTCGTTCGCAACATAAACGATCGCTGAACAATCGTTTTCCATTGTTAATACAGTTATACGTTATTTTCACATTTTGTTACTTCAGTTGCTCATAGTATATTGTTTATTTACAATGCGAGTTTGGAGTTTGCATTAACACGCATGCACGGGTGTATATGACCACGACCGTGTGCGCATGGCAATGAAAACGAATGAATGAATATGAATGATCATACATATATGTATATAACAACAATATACATACATATGTACTTATATACAGACCATGAATATATAAAATTAATTGAATATTTCAATTTATTTACGTAATAAATAATTTTGTTGACAATAAAATTTTACAAACATAAATTATTTATATATATGATAGAGAGTCAGATTAACAATAAAGTGATAATTATATTTAAATTATACAAAATAATTTTATTCATATAAATCGAATTTGGTATATAGATTGCGATTTTCACTTATTTATTTAAATATTGGTACAATGATATAAACTTTCAACCGATGCAATTTTGTTTAAACATTTAATATCTACAAATATATAGTTAAATAATATAAAATATAAATTTACTCAATTACCTTAAATTATTTAATTTATATGTTAAATGACTTATAATTGAAATTAAATAAATTGTACTTACTTTCAAAATGTGATTAAATTCTAACCAACTTTTATTATTCAATTTTGAACCTTATAAGGTTCTTCATTTAGGGTAGAACAGGGTTTTACTGTATTGATTTAGAAAATAACATAAGATATAGAAGTATTGTTTAGCTAAATAAAATCCAAGAACTTGTTATTTAATAAATTTATGAAATATTACACTTTTATTCTGTTTACAGTTTAGAAGCTTCAATTAATGAATACTGGTATACACAATTTTTAAAATTTAAAATGATCAATATTGTAATATTTTCATTACTTAATTTTAGTCAAGAATATAATAAAACAAAAGTAGTAATAAAATTAAGTGCAGAGGTAACTGCAGAGGTAATATAAACATTATTACAATTTACGTTTTATTCTTCATAAATATGCATGCTAATTAATTATTCATATTTTTAAACGGCTAAAACTTGTACTATAATTTTTATAAAATTTAATGTTCCCATTATGCAAATATTGTTTCCTTTTCATGATATGAAAGTACTGTATGATATTGTAAAATTGTACAATAGAAAAGTAAATAAATATATTGAAAACATATTATACTTTTTCTAGAAAAATCATTTCTATTAAGACAATAGTCTATTTAATTTTTTAAAAAAGATTTTTGTTATACAAGATTAAATAGTAAGGCTTAGTCTAAGAAGATGAAACAATGGTCCCTAGAACATTTTTCTTATTTACAGGCGTAATTACTTTTGTCAGATGCAACCAATAACTCTTCTCTGTCTATTATCTCCTGGCTCTGGAAAACATATGGTAGTATTTAATACATTTAAATAATTAAATATTTTATATATTAAATGCAGTATGTGAATAGATAAAGTGAAGTGAAATAAGTAGATAAGTGATTACAATAATGTACTAACTTACCTCCTTAAGCATTTAATTAATAAATGACTAATTTATTAATAAATAAAGAAATAACAATTGTAATAAATATATATGAAATATATGTAAATGCTCGTGAATGAACAAATTATCATATATTATAATAAAACATGTAATAAAATATGAAATAAAATATGTAATACCTAACAATCTTGTTACAACATAAAATATGATAAAAATATAGAAAAGTTTATTAGAAAATTAAACTTTTTTTTAAATAATAAGAATATTAATATAAAAATCATAATTTATTTATTATATATTTTTTCCCAAATATGATATAATATATGCATATAACTATTTTGTGTATATTAGTTAGGAAACTGAGATTTTTGGGCGATTATATCCAAAAACATATAATTAAAAAATTATAATAAAATGATTATATCTTTGTATTATTTATTAACAACAGAACCAATTCTTTCGTATTTGTCGACTTTCAAAATTAATTACGAAAAATTAAAATTTTTTTGAATAATAGCTCTTAATAAAATAAATGTTCATCAACTAGATCAGTGAAGAATGTTATTGATATACAATTTTTCAATTTAAACATTTTAAGTACTATCCTAAAATATTTGTAGTTTAAATATTTTAATTGCTATCTTAAAATTTCACTATTTTTATAATTTAAATGATTCTAAATATAAAAATGCAATGATGAATTTAAGATTACTATTTTGATATAGTAAGCAATATTAAACAATAGATAACAAGTATAATGTAAAAGAATATTTATATGATACATGAAACCATATATTTAATGAACTATCTGTTAAATATGAGATATAAGTTAGTAAAAAATTCGTATTAGTATTAGTCGAGTTAAACTTACGAGACTGTGATCTGTGACTATTGTTAGAATGTAGGTGAATTCAAGTTAGGGCTGCCTGGTGTCGAAGTAGGAGTTGATGGAGTACCTGGTGGTGAAGCATCCAAAGGACAAACCAAATTACCATAATCTGCTTCATTCTTGCTCTTTTTGCGTTTTAAAGTAAACTGAGATTTCTTGGGTACCTAAATCAATTTCATTCTAATTTAATTACAACATTTAAATTTAGTACAAGTTCGATTACATATCATTTATTTAAAGAACATAGACTAATTTTATTTATTAACTGTTACTTTAGTCCATTTAGATTTATTCTTACTTTGACTATTCGCTAATATATTTCCAATTCTAGATTCAGTTTTTATTTATTTTCAGATTTGTACTGAATTGTTGTTATTATAATACATATATAATCCTGTCCTTTTTAAATATTTCCTATTAGTTTAAAGATTAATAAAAATTAAAGATAGAGAATTTTATGATTTTGGATAAAACAATGGAATGATAATGATTTCATTTTAGGTAAGAAAGTATAAAAGATTTTAAAGACATTCCCATTTTTGAAAATAAACCTAATAAAAATTTTTGGAAATAATTTATCTATGCTGCAAAACAATTAAAGTCACCTTTAAACGAGCAGTAAGCGTAAGTGGAACGAATCCAAGGCTACTCTCAATTTCTCTTTTCCTTTGTACAACTTCTCTTCCAAGAATTTGATTGAAATGTGTAGTTAAATGTCTACGAAGAAGAGTTTTTCCTGGAGAAATACTAAGTAATGTGGCCAGTAATTCTGAAGTAAATCTGCCTTCATACATCATTAAACCTCCATGTACTCCAGATCCTCTCATATTTGGTGCATATTCTGCTAAATCAACTACCCTAAGCCATTCCATTACTCGATGATTTGTCCACAGATGAACATTACCACCCTCTGCTCCATTACCATTTGTAGATCTTCTTTCAAGGTTATCAAATTCAAAATTTAGTTCTCGTAAAATCTATAAAATTAGATATATTTTTATTTCAGTATATCTATAAAATTAGATATATTTTCTTTTTGTTTTTAAATTTGATATCTATCTGTTATGTCCCGCGACCTAACCAGATGTTCTCATCCATCCTTCGGTCGGGATGCCCAGCAAATGTTTAAACATATTTGCTCGGACCCGCAATAATCCTAAGGAACCGTTATAAGATATAACATTTTTTCTTTACTCTCGAGGCCCTTAATTGTCATAATATATCCTTCAAGTTAAAACGTTCTTTAGGGTTATTGCTCATTACGGTAAAATATGGGAATAGCGGATTTTCCCACGTACGATGTTCGAAGACCACTTCCACCCGCGAGCGACCGTTGGGGGGGGGGGCGGCCAGCACCCATCACTAGTTCTCCTTATAGACCTCACCATCACCGAACATCATTTGCTACTAACTCTTCGATCAGAAGATACCTTGACTTGCTTACAACTATTCACTCTAAACACTTCTACATTTCTCGCACGCGCCACTCGCAGACACTCAAGTCCCAAAAGTTGTTGGAAATAGAAGTTATATTTAAACGTCATATTTAAAAGTTATAAGTTTCTTTATGTTACTATATCTTAATTTAGATTACTGTAGTTAGTATAATATTTGCAACGAATTAAGTAAAATTATGACATTTTAAGAGTACCTGAATTCCCCGTCTAAGACTTGCAGCATGTAACTGTGCAGTAACTCCAAGATTTAAAAGATCTTCAGTGGTGAGTCTGTGTAACATTCTGCCATCAACTTTACCATTTTGAAAAGCTTCTTTATGTTGTGGTAACCCAATATCATCCAACCATCGCAAAACTGCTGCATTATCCATCTATAATTTCATTAATATTTACGTGTTTGTACAATTCAATCACTAAATTGTAAAAATTACCTTATCTGATCCAAAAAATTCAGCTCCACCACTTTTTTCTGATTCTACCGCATACAATAATTTCTTTCTATGGAGAACATTTTTAATTTCTAATTCCTTTTCTAATTGTTGCTGCGAGCATTCTAACAATTTTGTTCCAGTAGCACCCCATCGCCTCAATTCACCCGCGTAACATTCTAATCCTAAATTTGCAAGCCAATCTCCAATTTCTTCCATTGAAAGTTCTACCAGAGGTTTCTGAATCGATTCTATTTGGGAATTTGTATCTCCTATGATTGTTTTCTCCTCTTCAGCTAAAATAAGAATAATAAAAAAAATTTAATATCATCAAACTAGACTCACTATTAATGTAATGTTATGCTGTATGTTAACAGTAAATGTGAAACAGCAAATAAATAATTTGAAGATACAATAAATATCTTAATGTCCAAAACATATAAATGTTTTAAATACATGGTATTATTACATCATATATGTTAATTACACATGAATTACTTTATAGATCAAAACAAAAAAAATCAACATTTTCATGCAAAACTCAACATAAAACTCGTTTTAGAAAATTAATTGTGATCAACGTTAATATAATATAAATTTTAAAGCCACGATTGCCTGTCATATAAAAAGAACAATTATCTTTTGAAAGAACATTTAAAGATGCATGCTTAAAGGGAAAATCAATCGCAACCTAGAGTAGGTGCAGACAGGCATCTCGCGGAGGCTCCTTTAACGGCGAATGGTACTGTTGTGTGTACTCCAGAAACTAAACTGGGTACCTTACCGAACACTACACCTTTCTTTGAAGAACTCGGTGGCCTAGGAAGACTACTATATTGGCTGGTATGCCTCCCAAATTTCTCTCCCTGCAATAAACCACTAACAATAATGTATTCTTCTATTTTTATCATAAATTTAGTATAACTGTTTATATACCTATTCTGCAAAGAAGTATCTAAATGTCAACTTACATTTGATACAGGACTTGTACTACGGAGTGCAAGATTTTCATGCTCTAAACTTGCTTGTTTAAGCTTCATTTCTGATAAAGAACTCAAGAGCTCTAATTTCTGTGTTTCCAAAGCACTTCTTGACAGTACTTCCTTTAAAAATTAAGACTATTGGAATAAAGTAAAAATAAAAATAAAATAGAAACAAAAAGAAAACAAAGTATATAAAAGTAGGATAAAATTATAAAGATAATATAAATTATGCTATAAAAGAATAACAGCAATATTAATAGAAATATAATCACTATATAAGATAAAATCACCAAATTACTTTTTGTAATGCTTCTTCCATTCTTCTGAGTGACTCCTTCTTTTCTCTAAGCATATTTTCCAATTCTTGAATTTTGTTAGATTGTGCATCTACCTGATCTGACAAAACTGACACTTCCATACGTAATGTCCCACGTTCATTTTCTAATTTTTTTAAACGTTCCTGTAATATTATTTAATACTATGTATAAGATATAATTTATTAATCATTATTATATTATCAATCAACACAAAACACATTTTCACAATTAACATACTCTTTTTAACATAATTCATTTATTAGTATAACAACATTGAATGAAACAAATAATTTAATTTCAAATCATACATATACTATGATATAGAAAGTAAAAAGAATATAAAAGGAAAAATCTATGAAAAATTTTCCTTGTTTTAAATTATTCAGTAAGTATTAATTAAGATATATGAATCTTATCTAATCAATCTCATGTATTCATCTCAAGTTCCATAGCGTAAATAAATTAATATAACTTACTTACGAATTAAAAGATATAAATATTTACAATATTAAATGCAACAAATTCATGATATAATATTCATATCGATTACTCTCCGATCAACTATTTAAATTATACATATTATTGCACACATTTTAATTATCAAAACTTTTTAATATTCTCTATTAGTAGATATCAATATACCTCAGTTTTTGCCTGACACTCGTTCCATTTTTGTACAGCTTGAAAGTGTTGTAGAGAGCAACAATAAGGAAAGTCTTTTCTTCTTAAAAGAAGATTTGATTGTGATTTAGTTCTTTGTTCATGTACTATTCTATTCCTCAATCGTCGTTTCTTTCCTAATTCTAACGATTGATTGTTTCGATTTCCTTTACACTCTTTATTGCCTTGACAGTTATTGGTTTTTGAACAAATGCTGTTCAACCATGTTAAATAAAATCAGTAATTTAAAATTTGCAAATAGCAATAAAAAAATAAAAACACAAAAACCTCATATTATATACTGCAGAACAGAAAGGTGGAAAAGTCCCAATATGTGTTAAATTTGTGGATGCACAGAGATTAGGTACACTTCCCCTCAGATTAACCATTTTAGCATTACCTAATGGACAACTCTAAGAAAATGATATGATTCTTCTAAACATTTTAGAAACACACTCTATTTTTTATATTCTTATTATGTATACATAAAGGCTACTTATATATAAATTAGAAAATTATCATTAATATAATACTAACACTATAACTATAAAAGTTACTAGATAAATATTTTGTTTTTATAATCATATATATATTGTAATACATATATATTGTAATACATATATTATATATGTTATAAACAAATTTATATATTTGTAAATAAACATATATATGTTTACTAAAAACACTTATATGTATATATATAGATAGTCATAAAATTATATGGTATTCAACCTGGTACATCATTACAACAAATTTCTATCCTTAAAAATTATTTCAAGCTCGAAGAAAATGTAAAAGAATCATTATTAATGTATGTGATTTCTCATTTCAATGTTATCTCATTTTATATTTAATAAAATTACAATCTTATATTTTGGAAAGATTAATTTTTCATAAAGTCTTATATACTTTAGATGTTGATAAATAAATTGAAAATCGAGTTATAAATTTTTAATCCTTCTCTTTAAATATTCCCTTATCCATTACCTGGCAAAAACAATTGCCAGATTCATGTATTTGATGCTCAACAAAGCCAATATTTGCAAACTCATCTTCTTCTTGTTCAGAATTTGATGTTCCTGAAGAATCATATTCTTCAGAAGGAGTCCAACTGCTATCCAATTGTTTTGATCTCGACATAATCTTCAATAACTTTAAACCTAGATCAATTTACGTAACTAATCCTTTAAAAAGTTCTATGATTTCTTTCACCAATCTTAATTTTTCTATTCAAATATAAGACAATATAGAAATTTTAATAGACTTTTACAGAGAATTTGTTTCATCAAATAATGTAAAGTGTTGCTAAAGAAATTCTTTTTTAATTATATATGATTTATAAATAGAAGAATTTCTTTTTAATGATATCATTTAATCTTAATCTTGCTGTCTTCTTTTAATTATTAATAGGATCTTTTGTAAGCTCCTTCTTTTCTTAATCCGTTATTAATTTTTTAATCTTAAAGTTATTTACTAATTCCTTCCAATCAGGTATTTTTCTTCATCCCTTATTTTCAATCGTTTTAATGCAAATTAGACTGCACAAAAAATATCAATAAAAAATAATTTTTATGCAACGATCACGACGCGGTTCTGTTCGAAACTAAAATTACCAATCTAAAATTTCTCAAGACGAGAGTAGTCACGTGACGTGATCTATACATAGATCATTCTTTATTTTTCGAAATGCCTAATACGAAAAAATTTTCTAGTTAACATCATTATTGAAATAATATCGTGATTAAATTTGTCATATTCGGAAATCTATATTATTCGTGTAGATTTAAATATACATATTTATTTTCAAACAAAAGAAAGTATATGTTCAAATTTAGAAATTTATAAAATATATATATATTAAACTTATATATTTATAGATATTCAAAAATTTTTACATCTATATAATGCAATAAATGTAAATAAATAAAGTTTGCTTTTTAGATATAATCTAATAGAGTATTATTTTCCAATTTAATATGGAACTAGGATGAAAATCATGATTTTCATATTATTTGTAACAAATAGGATTTTATTGATTACACTATTTGTCACAATTTTTAATTAAAAATTGATATCTATTATATATATTAAATATAATACATATAAGAAAATAGTATTTTGAGATGAGATTACCCCAAATTATAAAATATTTAACATCCTTTGCCATTTTGTATTTTAATTCATGTCTTTATCTGTTTGCAGGTATGTTTGTAAGTATGTCAAATAAATCATTTTTCAAAATCTTTTTTAGAAAAATATATGCAACATTGAAGATTTGAATCTCTATTTATATAAATAAAGTCAAACAAAGTATCATAAACTGTCTCTTATAAAAGCATTGCAGATATCAATTTATCCCTTCTTTTGCATTTTTTACGAATTATTAATTATGATAATTTTAGGTACAACAAATTTTGTGACAAAATATTCTGATGGTGGAGAAGGAGACCTTAAAAAAGTGCAGAATGCTTAACATAGTATGGGTGATACTACTATTGCTTTAACACTGTTCTAATTAATATTTTACTTATTTTGTTAGCAATCCCAAAGTATGCCAAATTATATTTTTTAAGTATATTACTTTATATAACAGAATTTATGTTTTAATCTAGTTCTTTTATTTATATCATCTACAAAATAGAATATAATTGAAATAAACATCCAAATGTTTACCCCATCCAATGGTTGCATCCATTGCAATAAAATTTTAGTAGTATCTGCATCTGGAGGTGAAGGAGGACTTGGAGAATTCTTAATTGCTGTCACAAGATTTTTCGTGGCTTCTTTAACAGAATCCTTCCATTCAGCACTACCATCATTGTTACTTTCCGTACATACACCTGTTAATATATGTATATTATAACATTAATGATCATGTGTCAATTAAAATTAATTAATACCAATTATTATTTATATTTTAAACATAATATACTCATATAATATACTCTTTTTAAATATGATATATGCTGATAAACCAAAGGAATTATACAATGAAAAATCTTACTATACTTCTAATTTTTAATAACTCTAATAATTTCTAAGCTAATTATTATGTATTTTCATACACCTTAACTGAAATTATTTCAAATTAATAATCATAGTTTACCAGAAATAATGTCATCCATTTGTAATAAAGCAGCTTCCAACATCTTACTAGCTTCACTTGATGTTTTTGTAAGAAAAGTTGATTCTCCTGCTTGTATTGTGCTTCCGTTTCTTTCTTCACTTTTACCCATTGCTAATTTCTGTGAATAAAAGGAATCATATATTAAAAGTAATATAAAATAAATGATGAAACATTTGTAATATAATTAAATAATAAAAATGATAAGCATTAGAAAATTTTAAAACTTACTTAAAATAAGTAATTGTAATATATATAACCTAAAAATTTCTGTTTTAAAATTATTTTTAGATTTAAGACATAGTGTGCTTTTGAAAAGTATTTTATTCAAAGGTTCAAATATATAACTTTATTCACAGATTAATAATAAAAGAAAAAAGAAAGAATAATTGCAAGACAGAAAAAGATAAAGTTAACTGTCAAATAGGTCTGCGTTTCAAAATGGCGTGTTTACCTAAATCATTTATATATTGAGAAATGAAATAAAATATAATTAACCATCCTTTATTAATTTACATCTTTTTCACATTTTGTGTGAAAAATGGATATATGTCCCTCTTTCAGTAATTAAACAAAATATACAGTTATAGTACATTTCTGAAAAAAATAACTTACCTCTCTGTACCATGATTTAAATTCGTGCATATAGTTTGAAATTTCCCTAAATCAATTATTGACTCAAATCATAAAACCAATAAAAAGCAACAGGTGTTAAGAACAACGCCCAATAGTTTACCGCCATAGTAGCATTTTGCTCCTTTTTTCTAGCGTTTCG